GTGTGTGTGTGTGTGTGTGTGAGCTTATTCAATAACTTTCTGTTTTGCGCTTCAATTAAAAAATAAAACAAAACTAAATTAGTCAGATCGAACAGTGAAAAAGCACTGGCAGAAATTGCTGTCAGAAAGACAAACATTCAAAAACAGTGGCGTTTATTTAAACAATGGCCCAGGCTTTTAGGGCATTTAGCCACATTTTCTTTCTATTGGGTTGCTGTTCTTAGCAAAAAAAAAAATCTCAAAAAATTTGGCACTATAATTTATTTGATTCATATCTTTATTTTTTCGATTGTTCCAATTGTATCGCTTTCTTTTTTGTTGGTTTGGAATTTCTTTACTAGTAGTGCGTGTCATTGGGATAAACTTACAGTAGGGCTTACGAGTTTTTTTGCGTAGACAGGATGCCACATAGCTTTCCAGTTCTCGCAGCGTTGACGGCTTCAATGTTTCGAAATCGATTTCGATCTCATCTGGATTGGAGTCGCGCAGTGAAGGTTCTCGATTTTGTATTATATGCACTACACGTCCAAGCTTGTCGCCTAAAAGCAAGACACGAATTCACCAAAACCAAACCCAAATCAATATCCTTGAAAAATAATATATCAAATTGAATTTTTCATTGTACCTGGCAGTTTATNACGATTTTGTATTATATGCACTACACGTCCAAGCTTGTCGCCTAAAGCAAGACACGAATTCACCAAAACCAAACCCAAATCAATATCTTTGAAAAATAATATATCAAATTGAATTTTTCATTGTACCTGGCAGTTTATTAATATCTAACGAAAGCTGTCGCTTCTCGTCATATGACATCGGCTTGGCCGTATCCTCCTCCTCCGAATCGAAGTTCATCACTTGACTGGGCTTCTTCTTGTTGGTGCCCCGTGCTGCTGCGCCACCTGCTCCACCTGTCGCGCCGCCGCCCGCAGCAGCACCAGCTGCCGCTGCACCACCCTTTGCGCGCTTGTTTGCTCCCGCGGCCCCACCAGTGCCTGCTGCACCACCTGCGGCCGCCCCAGCTTTCGGGCCGCGTTGACCTTTCACTTTGCTACCTTTGCCACCGGTAGCTGCGGCACCCACCGTCGTGCCCGGCAGGCTACCGGCCAACGGCGCTCCCTTTGCGGACACCGCTCCAGCACCCAGTTGACTCATTGCCATGGCGGCTGCCAAGTCTGTGCCGTGCAGATTCGCACCCGCTGCCAATGCTGAATTCACTGCCGTACCGGCACCCACAACGCCTAAACCGCCTGCTTGCGCATGCGATCCGCCCACACCGGCCAAGCCGGCGCCAACGCTGCCCCCACCCTTCTTCTTTTCTTTCAACTTTTTCTTGGCTTTCTTTTTGTTGGAGGCTTCTTCCATCAGCTTGCGCATCTCCTCTTGCAGGTCAAGCAGTTTTGCTTCCAGCAGCTTTAGTTTCGCATTGCGCTCCTCATCCGAATTCGATTCGTTTTCGGTGTCGGAGGACTCATCCGAGGATGAATCGCTCGCATCGCCACCGCCGCCACCACCACCGCCACCGCCGCCTCCGCCGCGTTTCGATGTTGTGGAAAAAGCATGGTGGGCAGCAGCTGCGGCAGCCGCATGTGCGTTTGCCACCGGTTCGTCGGGTATGTTGGCGTACCGCATTTCAAAGACGTCCTGCAACTTGCGACCCATTGCGACGACATCGTGATCTGGCGGGTTGTATTTGTAGCAGTTGGTGAATATTAATCGCACATCTGCCGCGAACTCGGGTGCGCTTTTGTATTCGCGATTGTCCATTTTTCTTTTCACCGTACCCAGATCCATTGGTTTCTTGATAATATCGTGATAGTCATGCAGTCCCAGCAGCTCTGCATCGACGGGTTTGTAGAATGGCCAAGCGTAGCCGGAGTGCTTTTTGGAAAACAGCTCTTTGAGAATTTCATTGCATGATTTGAGTGCGTCCGAAAGTTTCTCCTTGTTTTTGACAGCACCTGGCACGCCACCGCTAGCACCACCGGCGACGCCCATACCGCTTGGCGCCATGCCGGCGACGGCCATCGGTGACATGGGATAAGCGGATCCTTGGAATGTAAGATCCTGTGGAATACATGAAAGGATTAAATAAAAATATGAACATTTTCATTTCATTGAGGCATTGTGTGTGACAATTATTGTGGCTTATTTTAACTTCCCACACTAAAATTAAAAATAAATAAATACATTAAACAAGATGTAAACAAAACGAGACGCAGAGCAATAGCGTGATTACTAAAAAAGCGTACATACATTTGAAGGCTATTCCACTCAAAGTATACACAGCGAGGTAGAGGAGATTGGAAGTGAGGTGTTCAGGGTGACGTTAGGAATTTTGTGAAACTATAATCAAACATTTTGCTAAGTTTTTTACATTTTTGAAGAAAAATTAAAACCATAAAAATACTAAAAAATTAAAAAAAAATGTGAAAACAAAAAATTTAAGAACTTTCTATATTTTTTAAGCATGAATCCAAATATATTAAAAATTCGGAAAGTCGGAAGTGGGAAAAATAAGAAATATTAGCAAAACCTGTAAATTTCGGAAAAAGTCTCTAACTTTGACAAAGCTAATAATTTGACAAAAAAAAAAATATTTTGGAAAAATGTGATATGGAATTTAGAATGTTTTGAAATCACGGCTAAAAATGTTTACTTTTACAAAACAATTTCGAAAAGATTCTTAAAATCAATTTCAAACATTTCCAAATAACAATTCGAACATTTTTGAAAATTTTCGGAACTTAAGAAAAAGTTGACAAATTAAAAAAAGAAAATCAAAAATTGTGAAATAAAATTAATATATTTTTACCAGTTTTGAAAAAATTTAAAATACTTAACAAAATCCGAAAGTTTTGAATAACTTCGGAGTTTTAAAAATGGTAAAACAAAAAATATAATTTTTCCTATATAAAGACATTCCAAGTAAAAATATTTTTTTAACTATTCGTAAATTTTGATGAATTTGAGAATAAAAGCGAAATCTCTGAAAAATCTGAATAATACATCGAAAATTATATAAAATAAACGCAAAAGTTCAGATCTGCTGCTGCTGCTAAGAGCTGCTTACGCCCAAGTTTTTAACTTTACATACAAATATTCAAATATGCAGCTCAGTAAACTTGAATGAAAATAATATATATACATATATAATTTAAAAAACAAAACGCAAAAACCCCATCTCTTTCCCCACAGTTTCTTTTCATCTCCCACCACCCACTTTCTCACAGCCAGCCAGCGCTCGCCTACCTTTTTATTCATTACCTGTCGACTGGACTCGCGCCTGGTTGCGATTTTGGCGCTCTTGGAATCGATTTGCGCATACGGTGGCATTTCAAATGCATTCGCAGTCGGCGTCGTTGTGTCGGCCTTTCGCTTCACACCCTTCTTCATTTTTGCCGGTTGTTGTGGTGGTATAACCGCATCGGCTGTGCTATTTACGCTGTGATACGCGGAAACTGCGGCAGCAGCAGCTACTGCTGCAACGGCTGCTGCTGAATTGGGTGCTGGACCTCCACCCGCACCACCGCCCGCCGTATTCACACCACCGCCGCTGGCATCAAGTAGCGATGAATTGACTGCACCAGCTGCACTTGCGGACGCCGCCAATGTGGCACCGGCACCCACCAAGGAACCGCTTGTCACACTAACGACCGGCAGTATGCCGCTGGTGGGTAGTACTGTGGCACCTCCGGCACCAGCTAGCGCTGCCGCGCCAGCCGCTCCGCCGGTTATAGCGGTAGTTGTTGTATTTGTGCTTCCCGGCACTGTTTGTGGTGGGACAGTGCCAATGGGTGGAATGGCGGGTGTAGTTGTGGCCGTTGGGCCGGCCGTCGATGAAACTGTGCTGCTTAACGCCGAGTGGGGTCGTGCAGGCGCACGTGGAGTACCGCCTGTAGCGACTGATGCAGCTGCGGTCGCCGCTGCCGCACCGGCGACAGGTGTGTGTAGCAACGCTGAGCTGGGTGTGGCTGGTTTACCCGGTGGACGTGGTTTCTTTTTGCCACCCTTCGGTGTGACTGGCTCCAATTCGATTTCCTCCTTGGGCATGGCTTCGATTTTCTGCAGGAAGACCTTTTCTAGCGTCTGCGCCATAACAACCACATCCTCACCGGGTTTGTTGTAGACATAACAATTGGTAAACATTGTATTAAAATCCTGTATGGCTTCTTTAGCTGACCAGTAGTAGTTGTTCTCAAGACGCTTCTTAATCGTGCCCATGTCCATGGGATGTGTTATGATCTTATGGTAATCGGGCAGGTTTAATTTCTTTGCATCGACCGGCTGCTGGAATGGCCAAGAAAAATGATGTTTCCATATTGCCTTCATCACGGTTTTGATGAGATACTGCAGTTGATTTGTATTGCGACCAGGTCGATCGGGTGGAGGTATAGTCGGAGGCTGTACGATGCCATTGACAGGCTCCACGTACGGCTCGTCTCGTGGCGGTGGTTCCTGAGACATTTTCGCGCTTTCCTACTAAAACACAACCACACAACGTATGCTTTAAGGATTATACTCGCGATCGCACGCGACTAAAGATGTCGTTGATGTCTGATATCTGGAGAGCCGAACTTTACAAGTGATTAACTGGAACAGGTAGCGCGTGTGTTCTTTTGCTTAAAATTGATAGCCGTTCCTGCGCGTACTAAAGCCTACGGATTCTTTATTTTTTACTCTATATAAAATTCTGTGATTGATGTGGTTTCGAAGATACAGTTAACTTGATAGGGAAGAGACCAAGGCTTCTGCTAGTAGCCACTAAACGCACTGTTAGTGACCAGTGTGATTGGTGCTGGAGTAAGAAGCGCAAGTGGGCGTAGTAAAATCTAAACTGAACGATCAGTTATTTTTGCAGCAGTCTATCGCCTACAAAGTTCTTCCCCGTTTGTCTACTGGCTTTTAAATGTGTCTGCTTTAAACTGAAAGTAGTGTAAGCACTTTCTCAAATCCTCTTTTGCAGTCTAGTATTGTGGTAGTAGAGTAGTTTATAGGTAGCTCTCGACCCTTCCGTTGCCTTGAATAGTGTACTACGAATTGATTTGGCTACTACTGTTGTCGTGATTCCTGTTGGTGCTGTTGTTATTGAACGCCGCATCTTATGGCAAATGGAACAACTAAAATTTGGAAAAATACAGAGAAAAATTAGTACGTGGGGTTTTAACAAAAAAAAAATAATAAAAATAATAAAAATGGACATTTAATTTTTGGGATTGAAATTTAATTTTGTTATGTTGCATAAATACTCACCACACATTTAAGGCAACAGAAAAATAGTGTTCGGGATCAGCTCGAATAACTGCACATTTTCCCACTGTTTTCGGGCTAATCTGACTCTGTGTATACTTGCGAACTTAAAAAATGAGTGTAACAGTTTGGGGTTTCTTTTTATACTGCATACGCCCATGCAGATCAAGTCAATTAGGGAGGGATAAAACTGAAATAAATAGATATTTTTTAATTAATGTAAGAATTTTAAAAACTAATTGTTATTAATGTATCACTTAGGCAAATACATATATTCAATGAAATCCTGTCGTTTTCAAATATACGAAACCAGAACATATCCTAAATATGATTATTTTCTTTTTCCATGCGAATCACTAGCCAACTATTTATGATACACTCTTTGAAAAATGAATAAAAGAGAAAAATGTAGTGGAAAAAGAACACTCTTCATATCAGCTCATTTAACATTCCTTTCCCTAAGGCCCAAACCCGTCGGATGTGGGCTTTTCCTGAGCCTGCCGTTAGATGAGAATGCTGATCACCATGTGGTCGATTCACTGATTTTGACAAAAGTTAGTAAGCTGCTACTACAAAAACCACAGCGAGAGATCTTCGTCCGGTTTTCATTTTCTTAACCGAATTAAAAAAAGGAAAAGGTTATCAAAACATCGGATTTTTTTTTATGTATGTTATCACATAACTTTGGAAAATGTCAACCGATTTCTATAACACATTTTTTTAAAGGAAAGGTGTTACCTCAGTGGTGGTCCCATACTTGGTTTAGATCCAATCATTGAATCATAAAGATATTAACGATAATCTTAAATTTTTATCGGTGAATTTCGTATATGTACATAACGTTACCTTAATATAGAAAGGCCCTAACTCATTTTCTTTTCAAATCCAGTATTGTACAAAAGTCTGCCGATAACTCAGTAAGCACCTACTGGATATTAAAAATACCCTGCAGTGAAAAATTATCAATTGTTAAAACTAACCAACTTATAGTTAGCTTTTTGGCGAGATTTCGATTAATACCTCACTTTTAATTAGCTATGACAAAACCAACTTAAAGTGAATTGTAAAGTCGTGCAGGAGTCATGCAGACGCAATCGGGAGTTGGTTTTCTTTACAAGTTTCTATTAAATATCCTCATACAAAAATTACTTTCAATACACTTTTTTTCTGTACTTCGCAGATTCTTTTTCATATTCAGGACAAATAAAAGGAAGATCGAAATTTTATACTATCATTTTGAAGTTATGTCTGACGGTGTTCGAATATGGGGCCACCCAGAGCAGAATATGTAAACAAATATGAAATGTAATAAAATAAAGTAAATAAATAAGTAAATAAAAAAGTAAAAAAACAAAAAAATATTTTGTTTTTCTTATTGATATTTTATGTCCAAAAGTAGTTAGTTACAAGTTAGTTGACATGTAATGCAGAGGTATCCAGGTCTGACTTTTTTGCGGCCATCGCCCCACAAAAGTAGTTAGCTTTTTTCGAACAAAATACACAGTTAATAGTTAGCACTAGTGTTCGCGTAAACAGACTAAAGTTAGGTATAAGCTAACGTCACTCCCTGCAGGGTATCTTCTACAGCATAGTTACATTATCAAATAAAAACATCTTACTGAAGAAATAGTGGAACGGCCATATATTTCTGTTGCAAACATGGGTTTCACAAAAAACTTTAGAAACCCCTAGTTGAAAGCGTAATAACTGCGTACTGTTTTAAGGAAATTTTACAAGAACATTTCTTAGCCATTTCTTGTACTTTTCTTGAGAGCTGCCTTAAAGAAACATACATTTTTCATAGGGTCTTTCCATGAACCAAAAATACAAGATCACGTAAGAACGCGACGTTGTATTTGTAACTGCTTTTGAGAAAAAAGTTTGCGAAAGCGGGTTCGTCAGCTGAGCGTTTGTTTACATCACAAGCACCACTATTTTACACTTTTATTCAAGTAAAGAAGAGTTAATTCAACATGACAACACATTTTAAAGCATTTTGTTGCATCATTTTACCTAAATTGTGCGTTTAAAGTGGCTGACAATAATTTTGGCTAATTTTGGTTTTCGTTGTTTTCTTTGCTTTGTTTACTTTTCGCTCGTTTTCCAGTGAAACAAGATGGCGTAGAACCCGCTAAAAAAATCGACTTTTTTCACTCTCTTGTTCTTACGTGATCTTGTGTCTTTCGTTCATGGGGTCTTTCTATATTAAGGTAACTAATATGTATAGGCTCGGAAAGAGTGGTTATGCCATGTTTGTCTCTACCCGTCGAATAGATGCCTTCTGATGTTTCTAAGGGTGCCTCTCTAATGCTAGTGCTTGTTCGCATTCTCCCTATGGTAGTAGTTGGGCAGAAATGGCTTGCTGGGCATGGATGATGTTAAGGCGACATCTTAAGATGCGGCACCGTTTTTATTGTACCGTCTCGCCATGTTATGTGGGTTTTGTCAGTCAAAAGCATTCCTGTGACGCAGAAAAGATTTTATCTGGCGGGGACTTTACCGCAGAACTCCACAGGCAACGATGGCCTACCAACTGTCATTTTGACGAGCAATATGATTGCAAGCAATAAGCGCTGACATATATTGCAGCCCATGAGAAATAATCGGTCTCCATTGGAAATATATGTATTTTGTGACATGGTTAGCACATCAGTGTGTTCCTGTGGAGACAGGGCCTTAGGCCCGTTTACATACAACTTTGGCGTTGCGTTGGCGTTGGCCTCGCTTCGACAGCTGACTATGAATACATCCATTTATATGAAAGTCTCCACATAACCAAAGTTGGGCAACGCCAACGCCAACACAACGCAGAAAGATGGCCAACTCTCAACTTTTCGCGCGCGTCGTTCGTCAGCTGTTCCAATTAATCAAAATTATGTGATTTAATTTTCATTTTTAATCAAATGCGGGCAAGAAATATAGTTTTTAAGGCAATTATTGATGTAAAATTTTGGTTTTCCTGCTGCTAATATGTTAATTTAGTGACCAAAGTATTCTCCGCTAAGCGTTCATTGTAGCAAGCACGGGCGTTACTCACGCTGCTGTCAAAGCGACGCCAGCGCCGACGCAACGCCAAAGTTGTATGTCAGTGATGTCCAACGTCGGCAGAACTCCATAAGCAAGTGCCCAGCGCTGGCAGAATTCCATATGCAAGTGCCCTGCACTGGGCATGACTGTTGTATGTGGACGGGCCTTTGTTTGTTGTTGTTGTTGTAGCGGCTACAACAACCCCGCCCAGGACGGTTGGTATCTCAGTAGTTGTCGTCAAGTTCCACTAACGGCAACCCTAGGAAGCGTGCAGCTTCTGTGGGGTTTGTCCACAGGGACAAGGCCGTTAGGGTTGTCGGGTTTTCCGGGCATGCGAAGAGATGTTTCGAGTCATGTGGGGTCTCTCCGCATGCCGGACACTCATTCGGCACATCCTCATTCAACCTACTCAAGTAGGAGTTCAACCTGCTGCAGTAGCCGGAGCGAAGTTGTGCGAGTGTTGTGCGTGTCTCCCGAGGCAGATGAAGCTCCGTCTCGTCTATGTCCGGGGGTGGTATGCCTAGAACGGCATTCACAGGTCTAGAGTCTACATAACTCGAGACTGAGTCCCTGTGAATGCCGTTCAGGGCCTGTCGGTAAGCTGTCGGGTCCAGAGGTTGCTTAATGAACCTCTGGACTTCGTCCGTCAGTTCATATAGACGGGCCTTTATTCACGCTTGGTGGCAATATTGCCCGACCTTGAAGGCGCAAAATCTACCAGCATTACCTTCCGCCGCCTTCTCAACCAGTGATAAAGTTGAAATTTGTTCATTTTTATAACAATAATCAACAATAAAATATTTACATATGTGAAATAAAAGCGCACCGAAAACAACCAATAAACTTCATCCATCCAACCAATTAGGCAGTATAGCCGCAGCAGTCGGAGCAGTGTTGCCAGATACTACTGGAATGCAGCAGACTTAATTTTTTCTCAATAGAGGAAACACTGTTCCTCCACCACCCCCCTTTTACATATCTTAAACGTTTATTTCTAAAATAACCGAGAGGTATATGTATACATTTTAAATATTTATTTTTTCAATTCTAAAACTATAAAAAAAAACTTTAATTTTTTCTAGGAGTTGATTTAAAAAACTGTAAGCTTGCATAAAAAACTGTAATTTACAGTTAAAATTAATTAATTTATGTTTATTAGTTAATTTATGGCAACACTGGCTCGGTGCCAAGGGCGCATAAATTAATACCTACACACATATATGAATACACACTTGCCGCTTGCGCGAACTTACACACAATTCACACATAACAAACAAGTGAAAATAAAAAATTAATCGAAAAAAACATAAAGGAGCCGCGCGCTTTGTTAGTAGTAAAATGCTAAAACGCTACGTTGACAATTTTCAATATTGGAACTATCGGTTAAAATACATATTTACATATGTATGTATGTATGTTCAAATGTTAATATGTAAGAATTAATTGTTACTACAGAGATATTGCAGTATGTAGCTCTAACGCATTACAACTATGTATACTTAAATGTATGTACATATGTATGTCTCAATGTTTTTTTGCCATTCAGAAATTTGGCCAGGCACATAACCGGCCAGTAAAAATGGTGGTGTGCATATTCAAGATTTTGAATGTTAATACATTTATATATGTACTGACATATCGTCACCTGAAATTCAAAAAGACGTAACAAACATTAACGCAAAAATGCAAATCCATAATAACAAAATACAAAATTCACTTTTTTAATTTATATGATGGATTTCATCGAATTACAACTACCCAATTCATTTTATGAAAAAAATACATAAATAAAAATATCAGTCACGACCTTTTCCATTTCAGTTGCTGTTACGTCTTTTTGCATTTTAGGTGATGATATGTACATACACATGTACATAGATACTACATTTGTACATATGTATGTATGTTAACCAGTTCAATTGTGCTTCCTACACTAGCTTGTTAGTATTGACAATTCCTCAACCAACAAATTTAGTATCAATAAAAAAATGTTTTAATACAAAATATTTAAAATGATTGGTAAACCGCACAAGTGAACGGAAAACATGCATTATCCCATTCGATGACACAAATGTTTCAAACGAATGCAAACATTTGGCAGCGTACATACAACATTTTTTTTTTTCCCCCCGTAAGCAAATTGTGTATCTTCGAAATTGACATTTCTCAAAATGCATCTTCCAGATACTCTGCCGCATCGGTACTATTAATAAGAACGGGAAAGTATTATTGACATTAAAAATCAGCTTGGATTATCTCCTTTTAACACTTTCAAGTTGCGTACGGCACGTCGCACATTATTAACTAGTACAGAAAGCCGAGACAGCGCGCACGAGCGCACGTAATCGTAGATACGTATGCATACACACGAACTCAATTGTATATGTATTTGGATTGTGTATGGCTTGCACGGGTATTCGCAGAGAGGATTCAGGGTGACAGCCACAGCCGTTCATTCGAATGCGGCCAATCGACCTACGAGTGCTGCCAGATTAAGCGTATTGAATTTCTACTGATCAACGAAATAGGTATTCGAAAATAATCGATCTAGGGGTTTTTCTGGCCTTCATTTGCCGGGTAAACTATAGTTTAAATAAATGATGGAAAGCTGGTGGACCCCCTTTTCAAAAATACACAATTTTAGGTGCGGGGGCCTTTTGGTTGTTAAGGGATTTAATATTAAAAGTTGTTTCAAAAAATAAATAAATAAATAAACACCGTCTTCGCTGGCGTTTGTGCGTTGAACACCTTTCTAAGTAAAAATTCTTTCCGTGGACGAGGCCTTAGCCCACACCTCAAACAAATTACCCTTTTATTATCATTATCAGTCCAACGCTGACCCAAGTATTGTTGCGTAGAACACTTTGCTTAGTAGAACCTTCTTTATGCAAGGGCCCCCTTCGGCCGCGCTTTAATAAAATAAACTTCATCAGTCTAACTCCGGTTACACTGACCGAATGTCTCTCTGAAGACACCTGTCTTAACGGAAGCATGAAACCCCGTCCTTCTCTTTCATTTATTTTTTGGTTATTGTAATCTGGTAACATTCGTTCTTTGACAATCTGAAAGCCGCCATACGGTAATTGTAAATGAGTTAATCGAAATAGTAAATAAGGAAAATATAAATGAATTCCTATGAAAAAAAATGAACAAGTTAAAAAAGCTCTCTTTGTGTTGATTTGACCAATTAAATGTTGTCTACTACGCAAGTAAAAATTTTTTAATATCAAATATATTAAAACCCAAAAGACTTCCGCACTAAAAGTGTGGGACTACGGCCTTCCAATGGTGTCACTTTGTGAAATATTCAGTTATAAAGTTCCAACTTTAATGAAAGCCGGCTATTCCCTGTTGTTGTTGTTGTTGTAACGGCTACAACAACCCCGCCCAGATCGGCTAATATCTCAGTGGTTGTCAAGCTCCACTAACTGAAGCTCTAAGCGTGCAGCCTCAATAGGGTTTTCCGGGCATAAGAAAAGATGTTACGAGTCATGGGGTGCCTCTCCGCATGCCGGACACTCAATTGGCACATCTGCGTCTAGTCTGCTCAGGTATGAGTTTAACCTCCTGCAGTAGCCAGAGCGAAGGTGGGCTATTGTGGTTCTAGTCTCCCGAGGCAGATGAAGGTCTCGACTGAAGGACTCGAGACTGACTCCCTGTGAATGCCGCTCAGTGCCTGTCGATAAGCCGACGGGTTCAGAGATTGTTTAATGAACCTCTGGACTTCGTCCGTCAGTTCGTAGAGATGCCTCCTGACGTGCCTGGGCGAGGGCTCTTCTGCAAGCAGTTGCCTAGCCTATGTGGGTGGCCATGTCTATGGATCCCTACATGAAATTGCTTGCAGAGCATTGTTGTATGTTGCCAGCAACGTTTCTTTGTCTTTGCCCCAAGTACTGCCGGCTAGCGACTTGAGGACCTTGTTGCGGCTCTGTACTTTGTTGACAATAGCGGTTGCGTGCACAGGGAAGGAGAGCAGACTGTCGAAGGTTACTCCGATTATTTTGGGGTTATTCACCGTCGGAATTGGTGCATCATCGACGTGAATTCCTAGCGGTAGCCTGATCTCCTTCGTCCAGGTGGTGAACAAGTTCGCGGATTTTGTAGGGGAGGGGGTTAAGCTCCTTGCAGGTCTAGGAGAAAGAGAATACTGTCACTGAATTATTTGGTCTTCGCTGTTTCAAACCAGAAAGTTTGGCGGTACCACGCCTTCTTAAGTTTTTTGTACCAGCCTCAAACTAACAGATACTTTTCGGAACGCAACCCCCACCACATTTAATCTCCAAATTGGGAGTGTCCTTTTCAAAGTGCACCATTTTTTTCAATTGCTTTTATAACCAACTACCAACAAATCGACTACTTCGACTTGAACCCGACACACCTAACTACCCACCTATTTACATGTCCTCTTAAAACTATTCAATTATTAAGACATACGTACTTTAACCCTACTTCTCTATACACCAATCAAGAAATTTTAGTATTCTTTCGGTTCACAAGGTAATAGTTTGGTTTTCTTCCATTTTGCCCAGTACGTTCTCACTCGGTGAAAATTCCGTTGCGGATCAGGGGATTTTACTAAACACAACGCAAGCGATTTGATCAAACGTCAACATGGCGGCAAGAAAATGGAAAAAATTTAATTTTTGTTCAATTTTCGCCTCAAGCGGCTTGTCAAACCAACACAAATGCTATGAAGCATAGGGATATTTCGTTTTTTTTTTTTTGTCAAGCCGCTTGTTGTGTATCGAACTTAATTGAAAAGTATGTAATTGGTGTTTGGAGAACTATTTGATTCCAGGTGGCAGCATTGCTGCGCTAAGCGATGACAAACAGCACCAGCAACAGCGACAGTGGCACAACACACAAATGGCCGCAACGATTCACTTTTGTACAGTAGAGTCAACGCTTCGGACAAACTCGGAATTTCCATTCGTTACTTTTTTGTTGTTGTTGTTGTCGCAGTGTTGTCTGCCCACTGACACTGCTTTGTTGTTTCATATTCGTATGGGTGGCTCATCGTACGTTCATTCTTTTCGTCTTTTCTCCACTCGCTGACAGCCGCAGCTACTCGCTAGTTTGATTATCGAAATTAAAACTCGTTCATTCCACCGCACACCACCACCGACACTACCAATCAAAAATCAAGGTAACAACATCACACATCGTTCAAGTTCGAACTCATCGTGGCGCACCGACGAGAGGAAGTGAAATTTTTCATTCAAATCATATCCAGGTCTCACTCGTTTTCATGCACTTTCATTGCAAATTTACCTAACAAAACACATCAAATCCATATCAATTTTACATTTAATGTGTAGAGCGACATTTCCCATACTGGTACTTGAAACAAATTTCTATGTAAATTTTATTAAATTAACACAAAAACTTATTTGCAAAAAACCTACTTCGCTTCGTCTTTCCACACACACACTTTACACAGAAGCAAAATGAACGACAGACGTGATTGAGAAAAGCGAAAAACTTATAACAAAAGCACACAGGGTGCCGACAAACCTAACGAGTAAAAGAACCAGCGAATAACCCCCAAAAATATTTATGACATTAGCTATCACTCTTTCTCCACTGATATTAGCGAGGATTAGCGGAATGTGAAATGCAAACAGCAATTTGTATAGAGAAAAGGATAAATAGTTGTATTTGTGGGGCCAAAAATTCGAAATCGAAAGCATGAGACGCTTTGGGGCTTTCGTCTGGAGCCGATATAACCGCAATAGCCTTTCAAAATTACAAAACCATACAATTAAATACTGTCAGCGGACTATAAAAACAAATATAGTAACTTTCTAAATGCTATAACACAAAAGATTCAAGTGAAATTGGCACACTGAGTTCATTCGTAAGCGCTCAACTTATCCGCGAATAACCACAAATTATACAAAGTTTTTTCTGTGTGCTTCGTAGAAGGGGCTATGTAGAATTGGCGCGAAAGAAAAGATTGCCGCATGAACTTTCGGAGAAAAAATGTTACAATGTATACAGAGGGATTCAAGCGAATCACATTTCAAATTAAAATAGCTTCAACTAAGTAATAATTACCTGCTTTCGCAATTTTAAATCCAAATTACTGCGTGTTATGAGCGCAGTTCTTGTGTACAAACATATGTATCAAATTTGTTTCATTTAGCTACTTTTTTTATCGGATAATCCGATATTTTGTTGAGTTAGTATTTATATCTACACACAAATATGCCTTTAACAACCGAGTTTCCATGTATTAACTCGATAATTTCAATTGCTCTTTAACACTTATTGTTGATGGCAAATATTGCTAAAAAGTGAAACACGGAAAAGCCAACAAATTGAGTATGTACTCATAATATTATACAAGATCAACACTTCATTCCGCCCTCGAAGAGGAGCAGTGCCATTACAACAACAAGCAGGCCGCGCTAAAATCGAACACAAGTACCACGGCGAATTGCACATTTTGACGGCATTGCGGCTGTTGCTACGTTTGCCACTGTCACTATACCTTAGGCGTGCTTACAGCCCGCACCCACTTTTCCTCTCCGACCCACAACAATAACAAAAAAGCTGTAGGTTCACAAAGAATAACTCCAAAAACGTACGCCGTAAACGCACACATCAGCCCATACCAATGTAGGGCTCATCATCATCACCATAATCATCTTCATAACGCCAGTGGCAATGGTAGCAATCGCCGCACTACCGCCATTGACAGCAACAACACAACGCAGCAAAACCGAGTGAAATTTTCATTTTTTTCTGCTTCTTTTCGGTCCTCTTTCGTCTTCGCGTAGTTTCTGCTTCTTCACACTGCGGCCTGATCTGGTGCTTCTGTTGATTGTCCAGCGGAGTCGCACTTTTTCAAACACAATTTCCTGAAGTAAAACCACGCGCACTCACCAAATTTCACAAGCCAACGCTGAAGAAAGCTTTTAGCTACACGTTTTTCATAAATTGCAATTTATCCTCACAATTTTTACCATATATTTTTGCAATTTTCAGCACGTACGCGTTGCGATCGAGACGCGCGTTTGCAAGCCGTCAAATATACAATTTTCGAACATGGTCGAACATATAACGATTTCACTTGTCGAAGTGCGAGTAATAATGCACAATACACAGGTTGAAAAGAGATAAATAGCTGATCATGAGTATGTGTACTAAAAACGAAAACGAAACAAAATGGCTGTCATAGTACGATTTTAGGAAATTAATTTTTAACTTCGTTGGGACGGCAATACGATTATAAATATTATTGAATGCACTTTTATTTAGATTAATACATTATCAAAAGTCACAAACTTCAATCGCCTTGTAAAAAGAACAACATAACGTTCGAATTTGTGGCGAACACGCAGTGCACTTCATGACAACGAATTTATTTCATCACGACGAACACAAAATTCAGGGTACAGGGTGACTAATAGTATGTGAACAGTATTCAAGGCGCTGTTGCCGGGGTGGACCCCAAATCCGCAATTGCTCCTTATTTTAGTACAAAAGGTTCAGTTGAAATAAAGTCGGTTGCATGAAAAAAAAATTAAAATTTCGATACATGTATTTTGGGACATAAATTGTAGATTAAACTATCCAACATGTGTGACAAACGTGAATCAACAACTCCAGTAGCCAGTTTCTGTAACTCTTCTCTACCGATTACTTCTCTACTGGTAGAGAATATACGTCATTCTCTTAGACTGCGTTTATACACGAAAACTTTTGTCGCCGCGATTTTACACATTCCCTTTTGGTGTTGCTCGTTTCATTTACACACTGCGATTTGTGTGTATGCAATTGTTGTTGTCAGCTGTGAACAGCGGTTCAATTTACACAGACGAACGAGAGCACAAAGCGTGTTGCCCGAGCACGAGCAACTCGGTGCCCCTCTCCTTTCCTCGTCGCGCTCTCTCCAACAAACGTCGAGTTGCGGCAACAAATATCGCCGTGTGTAAATGAGCACTAATAGTCATTAGCAGTAGAGAACAAGGCGGCGAATTCATATCTCAATTCGCTTTGGTAGAGAATTGTTACAGAAACGAGCTACAGATCATGCAAGCGGCCATCGTTGTATTTGTAATCGAATTTTAGAAAAAAGTTTTTGTAGCGTTTTTGATGTTTTTCCGTTTTATTAACATCGTCTTCTATCGGTTCGAGGTGGCTTTTTTTAGCAATTTGTTGTGTTTTATGGACGATTTTAATTGTAGTTTTTATTTATTACAAATTTATGATATAAAATGAAATGCTTTGAGATTGGAACAAGTTTGTTTGGTATGCTGTTACAACGACACAACTTTTTTGTATCCCATTAGTTTTCATATTGCTACTCATTTGGTCCGTGCGCTGAAAAACTGGCCCTTAAGGCGAAATTAGTCAACGAGGAACATATCAAATTTACTGTTGATAGGGAGAGAGAAGCAAGGCCAACGTCACCGCCATGCGGTGGCGAGTTTTCGTTAACACGAAAATCCCATAGACTGGCTTCACACAGAGAAACCTTTGTTGCTCATTTTCTGTAACTTCTCTTTTGGTTTTGCCCATCGCTTTCATACAGACCAATTATTGTTGTCAGCTGTGAACGGCCAACTAGAATTTTCCAGACGAACGATAGCACAAAGCGTGTTTCCCGAGCACGAGCAATCGGCGCCCTTCCTCGTCAGTCCCTCTATCACAAGTAACGAGCTGCCGCGACAAAAGTTTCTCTGTCTGAACCTAGACATAAGGTAGATCGCGCCTGCGTGAACGTACGTTTACGCTTCGTCGTTGACTAATTTCGCCTTTATAAGAGCCGTATTTATCAAAATATTCTTAGCTTAAAAATCCTTCAATTATTTAGAATTTAATCATAAACACTGCAACTCTCCTAATACAGTTCTTATTGGACTTGGAGTTTTTATTGGGATCACTACCAAATTCGTGTTGGGACTAATTTTACCCATAACAAAATGTCAAAAAAAGTTTGAACTCACCATGTACTTCCGGCAGTGCGTTCCAATGAATTTTTCCAGCCTGATGACATTTCTTTTTGATCTCATTCTCATCGAAATTGCTAATAAAATATTTTGACAGAATTGCGAGGTGGAACGTGTGAAACCCAAAATATTCTATTAAAGAATAATTGCACTTCATTTTCGCACAAAAATCCGCAAACTCATAAGCCCAGCAATATTTCGATCGCTGAGTAGCTGCTGCCATTACAGTTGACGTATTTATATCCTACGTCACCACCGATTGACCAGCACATAGCTGTAAAATGCCACGCGGAAAATATGTGAACCACAAGGGTAGGAGCCGTCACTTCACTTCGCCGGAAGAATTGGCAAGTGCACGCGATGAATCCAGCGAGGAGGATACTTCTTCAGAAGAAGAGGGCGGCAATGATGAAGCTGCAGGTACTAGCAAGGCAGCACGCGTCAAACCGAAGCCACGCGCAAAGAAGACCAGTGGGGGTGGTGGCAGTAGCGACGAAGACTCTGATGAAGAGTCCTCGGAGGAAGACGATCGCGATGCACGTAAAGGTGTTGCTTCACTCATTGAAATCGAGAACCCGAATCGTGCAACAAAGAAGGCTACACAAAAGTTGTCCAATTTAAAGTTGGAGGGAGCAGCACCTTCCAAACCAGAACTCACAAGGCGTGAACGTGAACAAATTGAAAAGCAAAAAGCGCGAGCGCGTTACGAAAAACTGCACGCTGAAGGCAAAACGACTGAAGCTAAAGCGGATTTGGCACGATTGGCGCTTATACGTCAACAGCGTGCTGATGCAGCAGCTAAGCGGGAAGCTGAAAAGAAGGCAGTGGAAGAGAAGAAGACGAGCGGCAATAAGGCATAGAACCGCGTTCGGCTGCCAGCCCATTTACCTGGGAAAGCGGCAATTCACTACGAGTTTTAACTTTCATTAGTTTTTTATGTTATTTTTAACTTGAATGCGAATGCTATGTAGAGATGCTTTATTTTGAACAGGGCATACCGGAAAACGTTTTTATAGCCGAATAAACATAACCATCCACTTATTACAGCACATATTAATAATTACTAATACAAGAAAATTTAGTGTAGTAAAAACGCGGTTGTTTCCTTTGTGCAGCGTGTGAGTAGGAGTTTGCGGTAAACAAGAATCAATAGCAAATGATGAACGTTATTACGTTCCCACGACCATATGGCCAAGGACTGTCACTCCAGCATCACTCCCTCCCGAAAAACTCTGGGTAATTTGTATTGTGCTACAACAACAACATGAACGCTATTATGAAATTATCATCGAGGCTCTTCGTAGCAAATGCTTGTGAATTGGAATGCAAATTTAACCCCGAACAATAACAATGAACAAAGTAAAAACTGCTGTTTTATAATTTTTTTACCTAATCGCTAAGTAAACTCTTTATTATAATACAGTTTCAAACAACTCCCCAAACTTCCTCGAAGGCGCTGCATAGCTTACTGCATGCAATTGCAGCTGACAGCGGATAGTTGCTAATCGAGAATAAACCTTCCGTGTAGTCAGGATTGAGAATACCATGCGCGAATGCACCGACGACTAGCACTATAGGCTCCTCAGCTGGTTCGTCTGTGTTCTCGCCCTCCTTTTGCACTCTTGGTACCAATTCTCGACAGTTCGAAACAAGTTTGCCCGAAAACGACATGGCATATTTTTTACAGCCCACTGGCACATGATCCGTAATAGGATTCTTTATAACCTTCATCAACATGGCAGAGGTGTCATTAGCTCGTACAGAGAATTTGTGCAGCAATTGCACCATTAAGCCGGCAAAGCGTTTGAATGTACGCGGTATACGAGTTTGTGGATTGATTTCGATAAGCACATTCTTCTCTGTACGTACATATACCTGTAACAAACCGGCGCGATTCAACGGTGAATCGAAGAGCATTAACAAACATTGGTGGGTTATATCCGGACGACATTTTCCAGGATCACGATTATTTTTGCGCAAAATATTTTGATGATCGTCGCAGTTAAGCAGCTCGAAAACTTTACCGACCTGAAAATGTTAGGATATACCAATATTTTTTTTTCGCTACCCAACTGTTGCATACCTTTACGGTCTCCAACTGTGCACCCTCTAACACAATTATCAGGCGCTTCTCCAATGCACGAATGTGTGTAGTCTCTAAGTGTTTTTTCTTCAAATCAAATTCGGGATCATCTTGTCCAGCAGGACCTTGAAATTTACGTTTTCTTTTCACGCCTTTGCCATTTTGGCTAAACACTTTATTGCCGCCCATGTTGTATTACAAATTCCGTCAAATCTTTAAAATCTGCTGCAAGTAGATCTTGATTTTTTTAATGTAATGTTTTGTAAAAGTTTATTTATATTTGACTATTTACAACTAATGATGCACGTGGAGGATCGCCTCATCAACCGTGTCTTCAACGAAAAAAAGTGGTAAAAAATAAACAAATGTGGACAGCCTTGGGCGTATTTAAAATGTCAAATGCAGGAGACGAATTCATACAAGGTGTTGTTAGAACAGCTGGGATTTTCGCTACCGAGATTCTGAATTCTGAATGTCAAAATCAAGGCGAATTTATACAAGGTGGAGTCATGAACCAATTAGAACAGATCTGACCGGTTGAGAAGCAGCCATTTGTAATAGCAATTGAGAAAAAAGTGTGTGACGTTCGTAATTTTGAAGTTTACTATTTCTGTTTTGCTTCTTTCTTTATGTGTATTTTGTCGGTGGTTTATTTCAGTGATTTTTGAGTGATTTTTTGTGCAAATGTAATTAAAATGAAGTGCGCAGTGATTGCATGCAAAAACACGTACAAAAATAATAAATTGGTTAGCACAAACATGTGCACAACATTCCTTGCATTTTTGCTTTATGCTTCGACTTCATATTCTTTGTTTACTTTTCACAGAAAATAACANTTCGCTACCCAACTGTTGCATACCTTTACGGTCTCCAGCTGTGCACCCTCTAACACAATTATCAGGCGCTTCTCCAATGCACGAATGTGTGTAGTCTCTAAGTGTTTTTTCTTCAAATCAAATTCGGGATCATCTTGTCCAGCAGGACCTTGAAATTTACGTTTTCTTTTCACGCCTTTGCCATTTTGGCTAAACACTTTATTGCCGCCCATGTTGTATTACAAATTCCGTCAAATCTTTAAAATCTGCTGCAAGTAGATCTTGATTTTTTTAATGTAATGTTTTGTAAAAGTTTATTTATATTTGACTATTTACAACTAATGATGCACGTGGAGGATCGCCTCATCAACCGTGTCTTCAACGAAAAAAAGTGGTAAAAAATAAACAAATGTGGACAGCCTTGGGCGTATTTAAAATGTCAAATGCAGGAGACGAATTCATACAAGGTGTTGTTAGAACAGCTGGGATTTTCGCTACCGAGATTCTGAATTCTGAATGTCAAAATCAAGGCGAATTTATACAAGGTGGAGTCATGAACCAATTAGAACAGATCTGACCGGTTGAGAAGCAGCCATTTGTAATAGAAATTGAGAAAAAAGTGTGTGACGTTCGTAATTTTGAAGTTTACTATTTCTGTTTNATGAATGTCAAAATGATGTGTTTGTTGTAAACAAGCCGAATTCATATTACAACAAACATACTATTTTGACATTAATAAGTACCGCGGCGAAAATCTAAATTCGCCATTAGCACCACCTTGTATAAATTCGCCTTGGTCAAAATGATGTTATGGGATACGCGTGTTAACAAAAAAGCTCTGATCCAATACTTTTCGTGAAAAATCCTGTAAAACTGTCAAACAGCAAAATTACTCTCTCAAGTGAGAGTAAAAAGTGAGTAACAACAAAAAGTACGGGAAGAAAAAAACCATTTTTCCTGTAAAAACGTCAACCAGTGATTGGTTGACACTTTTTATGATTTTACCAGAAGAAAAAGTTCGGGTAAAATCTTGCAACTTCATTCTCTACACAACTCTCCAAAAGTCGCTCTCATTTACAGAATTTTGGAGGATTTCGGAGTACGGGAACATTTTTCCCGCAACTTCCTGCAGGTTCGTGTAAAATCCTGTAAGTTCATGGAGTACTGGAACAGAGCTTACATGTAAGGCGAAGGAAAGAAGAAGAAATCAGATGATTGGACAACACCACCTTGTATAAATTCGCCTTGGCAACTATCGTGAGCACCTGGTACGCAAGTATTGTGCGTATAATTTGGTGCTATAGCTTTTGTTACCGATGCCACTTTGTCTGAATTGCCTTTTGGTTAAAACAAGTACAGGGTGCCTTTATTCCATTCCAAAGCATGTGTTTTGCCATTGTCTAAAGCTGGATTTATCATGATTTCATGGAGTTCCAACATTTGTTAAAAAATAAGTAATTTAATTTGCATGCAATTGGATTTATCAATAAAACGCCAGTTCACCTTAAGTTACCAAGCTTTCATAAGACTTCATTTTTCTGGCAGCTCCATCATAAAAAATGTTAACATCTGATTATGGCTGTCACTTTTTATTTATTTCCATTTGCCACTTTTGTGGAAAATATTTTGTTCAAATCGGAAGAGAAGACATTTGATCAAAATAACCGAAATGGGTGCAAGGCGTGATGTTGCGACACTTCTTCAGCGTGTGCGTGCATTCCTGTTGGGCGTAAGTTCATATAAAGACAACTAATAAGCCTACTAAATTTTGCGTTATATAATGCAATCTACTATTCCATTTAGCGCGAACACACTTTGGCTGTGCGTTTTGAAGATGGTCTAGCCGATCGTACGCAGCCTCCACCTGAGGTGCCTGGTGGTCCTGCACATTTATTAGCTGCAAACTACTACCACAAGCGTGACCCACGGCGGGAGGTGCAACCACCCATCGATGTGCAGCAACAGCTATTAGCAGACAAGGCGGGCGCACAAACAGAAAAACTGCCAACACCTGGATCAGTCTACCGCTGGGATTAAATTAGAAGTAGAAACGCGCGGCTAAAATTTTAAATGATATGAAAACTCTCTTTTTCTGAAAAATATAAACAAATCCTAACTTACAATATTAGCGAATACATGTAAAGTATATTTATTATCTATGCTATTAATTTACGTTTGCGAAATCCCATTTGCCAACCCGTTTTAGATTCCAGCACTACCCGCACTGTGGGCACAACATCGGCGCCTAGGGACAGTAACTCATACACCTGTACTATGCGTGCGATAAACGTTTTCATTTCGAGCAAAGCAAAGCGTTGTCCAATGCAATTGCGTGGACCAGCGCTAAAAGGTACAAATGCAAATGGATTTTCATTTGCCTGTCGTTCGGGCATAAACTTGTGCGGTTCCGGAAAGTAGTCTGCATCATTTTGTATCTCATAAATTGCCAAGAGTACACTAGTTCCCTTGGGTATGCAGTTACCATCTGTGAAGGGTAAATACTCAAGCGTTTTACAAACGTATTTTACACCTAAAATTTACTTACGTATGTAGCAATCCTCCATAAGAGTGCGTCCAATATAAGGTACCGGCGGATACATACGTAAAGCTTCCTTAATAACTTGTTCTGTATATTTTAATTGCATTAACTGATTTTGTGTAATAGCTTGTTGTGCACTAGTACCCAGCACTTCAACAATTTCAGCATAAAGTTTGAATTGTACATCCGTGTTGCGTGAAATGCAGTAGAGTGCAAAAGCTATNCTTTGTGTAATAGCTTGTTGTGCACTAGTACCCAGCACTTCAACAATTTCAGCATAAAGCTTGAATTGTACATCCGTGTTGCGTGAAATGCAGTAGAGTGCAAAAGCTATAGCACTTTTCGTCGTGTCGTGGCCCTCGAACATGAATGTATCCACTTCCTCACGTATATCAACATCGGTCAGGGAGTGACCGTCTACGGTGGCTGAGAGAAGGACATCAAGTAATGCCTGGCGACGTTTAATGCCAAACTCTACGGGCCGGGAAATGAAATTGTTTGAGGAATGCATTAGGGATTATTAAAAGAACGAAATTATTGTTGTTAATAAAAACAAATTAAAGAAATGGTTGCAAAGAAATGTTTCGATTCCGTTTCCGGTAAACCCCAAATGCTGCCAGACGGTTGGTATGAAATAGTTTATATCAATTTTAAACTTCAATTTTTCATAACAATATTTTTTAATTACGTTGTTTTTTAGTAATCTCTTTTTTGTTAGTATACTGCGTACTTACGAGTACTTTGCCATATCTCCTCTCTTCTGCCAATTTTTCGGCAAACTTAAATTTTATGCGATAAAACTAATCTGGCAGCACTCAAAGGCGTTCATATTCCCGCTTCTGTTATAGGTTTTAACTGCTGTTTTTCTAAGGTTGGTGTTATGCAGAAATTTTGTTTGGCAAACTGCGTGCAATTGTTGTTGTAGCAAACTCGGAGAGAGCAAGTTTGGCGACTATCAAAGCAAACTAATTTTGTTTGGTCAAACTGCAGCAAATTCGGTGTTGTCATATGCAAAAATTTTAAATTGTGCGCGTTATGTACATCTGAAATTCTCATTTCGTGTTGGCAATAGCCATGGAAACCATAATGAACGTGCAACCCTGTGCCAAACTCCGAGCAAACTAAGCAGCCGCCATTTAATTTGGCAAACAAAAGTTTGTCTGCATAACACCGACCTAACTTTAACACACCATCATTGCGCGCGAGCTGCTGTTTATCAATTTCCGCCTGCTGCTTTAACATTTCCTCGCGTCGCTGCCTGATAATACGCTCAGTAAATGCGTGTAAGGCTGCCGTTACTGTTATATGGCGTTTCGCTAGCCGCGGTGCAAGTAATTGGAAAAGCCAGTTTGGACGATAGACGAGCGTCACATAGCGCTTAAGTATAATATGTATCATTCTAAATGAGATTTTGGGATTAAAACAGTCAGAAGAAGTGAAACTATTAATTCGCTATTTACTCCGTCAATAGATGTACATATTCACATCCTTCATCAGTTTGAGCATTAGTACGCACACCCATCGCGCTTTCACAGATAACATCCAGTGTCGCGAGAGCCACGGGATTCTGTATATCCACAATTTGCACACCATCTGCAGACTTTTCCAACTTACCCACAAGAATTTGTGCTTGCTGATCGAATATGCGTACGAAATCCTCAAGTATGCTAAAGTGAAAGGTGGGCGTAATAACACGTCGACGACTCTGCCACTTCGCACCATAGCTAACAAGCAGACCATCGCCTAACCAATCGTTTAGTAAGCTATACATGCGATTCTTGCGTATCTCCGTGGGATGGCTCAGCAGTGTTTGGGCGAAACGCAAATCACACACAAACATGGCGTGTATGTGTAGCACCCAAAAGCGGGCTACCCGTCCAAAGCGATTTCGTATGTAACGGCTGAGTGAAATAAGTTCTTCAGATAGAGCAAAAAAAAAATTTAGTAAAATATGAGCACATATAATTGGGAGCAGAAATGAGTACACGGTGATTTTTTTTTAAATATTTGCAAGTTTTATAAAGTTAAAATTTTGTTGATGTTGTTTTTTCATAAAAATATGGTTCATGCTTTAATCAAACCCATTTAAATCAAATTTTCAAACCTTATACAGAACTTGTTAAATATTTTCAAGGTTTTTCAAGTTATTTTTTTATTTTTTTTTCATAAAAATATAATTCATGTTTTAACCAAAACCGTATAAATCCAACTTTCAAACATAGCTTAGTCAAAATTTTAACTTTTTAATCTGACTTAAAGCCGTCAGCAAAAAAAAAAAATGGTTTTATGGTTTTGGTTAAAGTATATTTAGGTATATGGTTTTGGTTAAAGCATGAACCATTTTTTTATAAAAAACAAGTAAGAAAGTCTAAGTTCGGGCGGAGCCGAACATTAAATACCCGGCGCAAGTATTAAATATATGTTTTCCACCTTTCCGAAAGCTACCGCTACATGATAANCTTTAAAAACCTTGCAAATATTTAACAAAAATTACCGTATACTCATTTCCGCTCCCCACTGTGTGTATGTACGTAAATCTGCACAATCGATAGCAGTCAACGAACCATCAGGTTGCACGCGCGTATAAATCCAAATGGAACCTAAAATCGGTAGATTCAATGGACCAGGCAGTTTTGACCATTTAAAGTTCACGTCGCGTTTCCAGAGATAATCGGCAAACATGCAAAGGACAGATAAGACCAATAACAAAGAGAACCACATCATTTTACGAAGAAAGTGAGTAATGAACTGTAGTAGTTAGCGTAACTTATTAATGCAATCTAAACTTTTCCTATAGTAAATCGGTAATTTGTTCTAATTGGATGTATGGATGTATGTATGTATGTATAAACTGGATAGGTATGTGACTGTGACCTTTGTTCGTTTTTTTTCGTGCCGATTCAACGCTTGTCATCTGTAGCGTTTGCCAACAGCAAAAGTATGTATAAATTAAAAAGTCGTCGGGGTGTAATAGTCATTAGATTACACTACCCAGAAGATAATTTAGGTAGGCCTTCTTAAGTGAAGCCATCCTAAGAGGCCTACCCAAGAAGGGCTGACAAAGTACTTCCTTGCATGCCTTCTAGAAGGGCTTATCCATTTACAATTTACGCGAATGCACAAATTTATATTATTTAACATTACAAATGAATTCCAATAAAAATTTTAAGTTACAATAACACACATTTGATATAAACCTTAAGCAAACACTTCAAAGATGTATGATTTTTATAAATTAAAGAAGCAACTTTAAAGAACTCCTCCAAAAAAAAGGTCAGGCTACCGCTGGGAATTCACGTCGATGATATACCAATTCCGACGGTGAATAACCCCAAAATACTCGGAGTAACATTCGACAGCCTGCTCTCCTTCTCTGCGCACGCAACCGCTATTGTCAACAAAGTACAGAGCCACAACAAAGTCCTCAAGTCGCTAGCCGGCAGTACTTGGGGCAAAGACAAAGAAACGTTGCTGGCAACATACAAGGCAACAGGCCGGCCGGTTTTAAACTACGCAGCACCAGTGTGGTCGCCGTGGACTATTTGGACGCAGCGAATGAAGCTACAGACAGCACAAAACACAGCACTTAGGATAGCGACCGGATGCCTCCTGATGTCACCAGAACACCACCTCCATGATGAGGCGAAAATGCTCCCAATTAGGCAGCATAACACTATGCTCTGCAAGCAGTTTCTGGTTGGGAGCCACAGATGTGGCCACCCAAATAGACAGCTGCTTGCAGAGTAGGCTAAATGCGGATGTGCCGAATGAATGTCCGGCATGCGGAGAGACCCCTCATGACTCGAAACATCTCTTCGCATGCCCGGAAAACCCTACAACCCTAACGGCGTCGTCCCTGTGGACCGACCCCATAGAGGCTGCACGCTTCTTGCGACTGCCGTTAGTGGAACTCGACGACAACGACTGAACGACTGAACGAGATATCAACCGATCTGGGCGGGGTTGTTGTAGCCGCTACAACAACAACAACAACTCCTCCAAAAGGCGTTCTGAAGTATGTCCTATAAAAACCCCTTCTGGTAGGCCTTCTATGGGTAGCGAAATAGGAAGCCCTTCAATTTGTGCCACTCCATACAAAAAAGAAAGGAGAAAGGAATGTAGAGTGCAAGGCCTCTTGATTCTCAGGAAGGCCTTTCGGAAGGGCTTTTAACTCCTGAAATTATCTACTGGGTACCTAACAGTGAAACTTACCTTGGATCGCTACATATATATGTGTATTACACAAGTTATGAGTATAAGTATTTGAATAGTAAAAACTGCATCCTTGAAATATCTCATAAACTTGGCTAAAAAGTTCACGATTTTCGAAGTATCATATATTTTGTTTATTACATTGGTACTTGAACATTTGCTAGCGAAGAGACAATACTCTGGAGTTTCCGTATCCGGTTTGAAAAGGGGAAAGTAAAAAGCAATTAGACGACCAGAGAACGGGATTCGGCCTTATATACATAAGTCCCAATTTTGGGATTTTATTTGAAACTCGTTCGCAGTTCATATTAATCCACTAGATTAACAATTTGTACTATATGGACTTTTCCGTCGGAAGGTTTACCGCGAGAAAGTCATATATTTTTATAATATATACTGCTTATGCAGGCAACAAATTTTTTGCAAAAAATCATCTCGCCAGGTGGCGCCAGCGTAGAGATATAATGAAAGCACCGTTTTTATAGTCCGATTTGCTTCAAATTAGGCATATGTATATAGTTAAAACATAATAGACGTCATAGACAGTGCGTCATAGACATCTGTGTACGTGTGGACTTGCCTTTCGACTACGCAGTTGGGTTATTCTTGAGTCTTGTCGGCGTAACTACCACATACATATTTATTTTAACTAACATATCCAAACCGATTCGTGAGTCTGACGCACCGTGTATGCCGCCTATAATAAGGCATACGGGCATGTTCTGAATTTGGAAACTTTGAAATCGACTCGATTTGCCAAATATTTTTTTTTTTTATTATATCTGATGAAAAGAAAGAATATTCTAATTGAAAACCATAAAAGAAGCAGCAGCGATATAAAATAAATCATTTTAATGCGAGACTTATAAATTTTTGGGTTAAAAACCATCGAAAAAATTATCGAAATCGAGTCAATTTAAAATTTTCGAATTTCAGAACATGCCTGATAGATTTCCAAAAAATTGACGCTGAGTTGAAAAGAAAAAAATTAACTTTCACTTTTGTGGCATATTGTCACTCTCTTTAATTGCGTATATTTAAGGACAAGTGGTTCGATTGTTTTCTTTTTTTTTGGTGCTGCGCAAGGTCCAAAAAAGTAAAAAATTGTCCATATTTGTATCTCATTGTAACGTACCACTGTCACGTACGCGACTAATGAAATGCCCATATGGCTTGTTAAGTTAAATTAATTTCTTTACTCAGTATTATTCTTATTATGGTTGCACTTGTATATGTCACAAGCACACAGAAGAATGCGGTTTCTGTTATCCCTGTAGGAAACTCAAGTGATTTTTCGAGACTAGTTTGGAACAATTTTGCCATTTTTTGTTGTTGTTATTGTAACAGTCATTGTTGTACTGAATGAAACNCGTTTCAAACTCTTAAGATCCGCTCTTGATAATAAAAAAACGCTGTTTTTAATTTTAATAATTATTGAAAATAAATATTTTTGTTGCACACAATTTTTCCATTTTTTGTTGTTGTTATTGTAACAGTCATTGTTGTACTGAATGAAACTGGAACAGTGGACCGAAATGGTGTTTCAGCATAAACCTAATCAGATAGCGCCATGGTTCTGAAAAAGTTCCAAAAAAAGTTTTTAAAAAACCCTTTCCTTTCTTTTAGGTCAAAAAATGGGTTTACAAGCATAACTTTGTTTTGAATTTAAAGTTGATAAGCGTGTGAAAAAATATCATTTATTTATTAATTTTTTTATTTCAGACGAGCATGAACCCACAGGAGCTTGACCAACCCTTTTTTAATGATTTGGTGTTCAGATTAAGAATTTAATAAGAAGGTTTGTATTTATTTGTCGCTTCAATCCATAATTTAAATACTTATTTTAACCAACTGTCGTTTTTTATTACCACAGCTCGATTACAGGGAGGGAAGGAAATAAATTAAATAAAAAGAAAAAATCAGTCACCGTAATTCAATACACTCTTGGTCTCAAACCCACATTCACGCCAGTAGCGGAGCGCATAACCAAATTCATTATCGGACGTACTGATTCGCCTAGCGGCAGTAACTCGTAATGCCGCAAAAGCTTGCTGATTGCGCTTTTCATCTCAAGCAGTGCAAATTTTTGGCCAATACAATTCCGCGGGCCTGCGCTAAAGGGCACATAAGCAAATGGATCAATTTCCGCACAACTCTCGACGTCGAAACGCTCCGGCACGAAATCATCGGGATTTACAAAGTAATTAGGATCACGCAATGCGGCATAAATTAACACGGAAAGATTGCAGTTCGCCGGCACTATTTGGCCGTCTGAAGAAAGGACGAAACGAGTGAGTACTAAGATCTAGATTTATAAAACTATCTCCTTATTTCAACCTACTGATCATCGCCTCACGCGTTGTTATTCGACCGATAATTGGTACTGGAGGGTACAAACGCAAACCCTCTTTAATAACGCATTCCAAGTACTTGAGCGCATGCAGCTCACGCATAGTTACCCTCCGATCTTTGTCCTTACCCAGTACATCTAATATCTCTTGAAATAGTTTACATTGCACCGCTGGATGACGTGCAATCAGATAGCAGGTGAAAGATATGCCACTGGTGGTGGTATCGTGCCCCTCGAACATAAATGTGTCCACCTCCTCGCGTATATCGGAATTTGATAGCGGCTTGCCATGGACTGTGGACTGCAGCAGTACGTCAAGGAAAGCCATGCGTTGCTTGGCGCCGATGTCGTTCATTTCCAAGTCTGTTTAGGGAAACACTTTAGAGATTTCTGTTATCAGTGTTTAAAAGTTATACATATTTACTTATGGCTTTATAACTGCCATCGGCGATAGTGCGTTCAAGGGTGCGGCGCCTCTCTTCAATCACGTTATCCGTGAATGAGTGCATTATTTTTATGCACTTTCTTAATTTAAGAGCCTTGCGCGGTGCGCTTAGGTAGAAGGTGAGGTCGTAACTTTGATGCGGTTTCATAACGCGTGTAGCAATAATGTCAGCGGCGCTGAAAAAAAAATTAAAAGTTCTTATAAGTTTTTAAAATTATTTACCAACTCACTCAGTTAACGCCTTTGCATAGGGGAATCTCGGGTTTCTTTGTGCGTCAATTTTTACACCCATGGCCGATTCGGAAATAATATCCAGCGCTGCTAAGCCGACAACTGGAAAAATATCCACAGCCGTTTTGCCATCGGCACGCGCTTTCAATTTCTCAACCATAACGATGCTTTGCTGATCGAAAATCTCCACAAACTGCTCAAGTATCTTGAAGTGAAATGTCGGTGTGATCACCTTACGTCGCGCGCGCCACTTGCCACCTGTGCTGAGCAGCAAACCGTCACCCAACCAATAACGTAACACGTCATAGATTACATCTTTCTTTATAAGCTCTTGGCTGCTTAGCAGACTCTCAAAGTGGCGTGCATCGCATATGAAAAGTATATCCTCGAAGAAGAACCACATATGCCATACTTTGCCCCAGCGAGCTTTGAAGCGATTTAGCATTGAGAAGACGTCTGCAATGTAGATTTAAAAAATTAATATGTGCCATATGAATAAATAAATATTGAGGTGCAGACACTTACTCGCTGTATCGTTACATGGGGTACATTGCCTAGAATAGGCCAAGGCCTTGGGCTTACAATGCCNGAAATAAATATTGAGGTGCAGACACTTACTCGCTGTATCGTTACCAAAAACATGGGGTACATTGCCTAGAATAGGCCAAGGCCTTGGGCTTACAATGCCTGCAGCTGAGAATTGTGCATTGCGTCTGGTTTTGTAAAAATAATCGCAAATTATAAGCAGAAGAACGAAGCACGTAAATATCGTCAAAAACATATCGTTACCGTTTGAGTGGCTCTAATTGACTGGCAATGGTTCTACATGAACACCTTTTGCCCGATTGAAATTTGCTGGCGGAACACAGCAGTGGCTTATCAATATTGTGAGTATTCGAGTTTCTAAATAATTTTGAGTGTGGTTGGGTGACGAACGAAGGCCTGACGCTGAGCGCGAGGCAGATTGGGCATAAGCCCAATGTTTCAAGAAATTTACGATGTAAAAAGGGTCGCCAAAGATGCTGCTTGGTGATGGAAAATTACTGCAGAGCCTTTCTTGTCTAAACAATAAATGCGCATTTAAAAAAAATGTAACAGAATATACCGGTACCAATCTCTCTTTGGTAGAACTTCGCTAAATAGATAAGAAACGCAACGAATGCAGCACTTTTAGGGCCGGTTACTCAATGTCTGGTTAACACGTATCTCCGGTTAAACATAGTTATCGACGCTATCGACTTCCCGTTGTATGCATGGAGTCGAAGACGTCGATAACGATGTTTAACTGCAGATTAGTGTTAACCAGACATTGAGTAACCGGCGCTAAAACACTTTTCGTTGTATGTAGGGATGCAGACGATGCATCGTTATTTTTTAAACATCGATATTATTGGTTCGAAATTCGATGTTTGCCATCGATGTTTACAATTTCCTAAAATCGCTAAATAGACGATATATCGATGACAGTTTCAGCGATGTTTTAACATCGAATTATGCTCGTAAAATTTTTTGACTGGCCATGAATTTTAATACTTATTCTTTTAAAAGGAACATTCAGAAATTCTGAGTTTACTTTTATCTTTCGATATTAAAAATGCATACTTAGTCATTAAAAAGGACCGGGATCCCGTTTAAATTTCAACGAAATTGGGCCTTGGAACTTTAGGTTCGGCGAACTCAGCGACGGCATGCATTTCTATTCTATTTATTGGGAAGGAATGGTAAATAAATAAAGGCAATAATTGAATTACAGAGAGTTGGAATTGAAAAGTATTAAATTTTCCTAACAAATTTCGAAACATCGGGAATCATCGAAATATCGATGTTTTTGTGGCGATGTATTTTAGCATCGATGTTCATTTTTCCTATGCATCGAATCATCGCTGTATCGATATTACTCCCCAAAATTTGCATTCCTAGTTGTATGTTGTTTTGCTCGAGGCTGAAAAAGCGAAAGCGCATACCTTAAAAACCATTTCGTTGCTAATCAAGTTCAAGGCCAAAGGTCAGTCATAAAACAGTCCCTAATCTATAAATAAGATAATTTCTGCCAATTCATAAATAACTGAAAATATCACATTTTATTGCTTTTTTCGTCACTTGACACATGTATGTATGTAAGTACACATGCACTTAACTTATCATCACTTTCTACACATATGTACGCCTCTGGAGTCCAATATTTACGCCTGTTTTCGAGCGTAACACAATCTTAATGGACGGTTCTATTGGTGGGCCCATTGGCAGCAGCTCGTAATATCGCAAAACTTGTACAATAACAGCACGCATTTCGTTTAGAGCAAATCGCTGTCCAACGCAATTGCGCGGTCCTGCGCTGAAGGGTATATGACTAAATGCGCTTGCCCGCGCATTCGCCGTCAAATGACGTTGAGGCCAAAAACGTTCAGGTTCGTCGTACACATCAGGGTCGCGTAAGATTTGCCACAACAGTATGAGTACATTGGTGCGAGGTGGTAAGGTGACATCAGCTGAAAGTTTAACCGCAAACGAAAACAAAAGACCGCTAACTAGCTTAAAGCTTCAAAAAGCGTCAGCTTTTTATATACTCACGCAACACCAGCTCTTCTTTAAGCCAACGTCCAATAACTGGTATGGGTGGATAGATGCGCAACGCTTCTTTAATCACACAGTTCAAGTAGCTGAGATTTTGCAGATCGCAATACTTAATAGGCCGTGTAGTGTCATCGCCGAAGTGGGCGCGTAGCTCTTCGAAAAGCTCGCACTGACAATCGGCATGGCGTGAGAGCAGATAGAGACAGAAAGAGATGGCCGATGTGGTAGTGTCGTGGCCCTCAAACATGAATGTGTTCACCTCATCGCGTATTTCGTCATCGGTTAGTGGTTGCCCTTCGGTGGTTGTGGCTTGTAATAGCACGTCCAGTAACGCCAAGCGTGGTTTCAATCCGATATCTGGGGAAGAGAATAAAACGATACATGATTATTAAGCGCGGAAAGAGTAGCTATGAAACTACTTGAGTTATACTGATTCTTCGGCAAAGCTCTGAAGGAGCAAGGGAAGGAATCGCCTAGGTTTATAAATCGGAGCTTTAAGCTTATTTGTGCGCTTTCAATGTCTTTTGTCTAGCTGACATAAAATAAAAGCACCCTCTATGCCCCAACTCTCTGGAGATTTAAGTTCCTTAGAGTTTTCGCCCTGCACACGTCTATAGAAAATGTATAGAAATCCTAAAAAGCTCTGAACTCAGGCAAACCGGTGCCCATCATTATTTTACTGTTATTTTAGAATGTGGCCTCCATAAAGCTTTTAGAAAATCTCTCTCTGTTAAGCACTGATCTAGGTATTTTTTTTATTTTGTACCCTTCCAATACTTGTTTTCTAAATGTGTTTAATTGTCGTTCTAGTTCAGCTACTCTGTGCGCGTTCATATAATTTTTTAAATAGACTTTATATGGACGCGTATCACACAGTAAAAGCTCCCTTTGATCGTCGCTGATCTATTGCTTTACCACTTACCTTCCGTCTGTGTCGACACGACTTCCGTGTTAAGATTACTTTTATTTTGTAGCATCATGCGCCGCTCCGTAATAATTGTTTCAGTAAAACGATGCATAATTTCGATACCTTCCATTTGCTTCTCGTACTGTTGCGGTCGGAGTAGTTTAAAAAAGCGTGGAAAGGCCAAAATGGGGCGTATGAAACGTGTGGCAACAATATTTGTAACACTAAAACGGATAAAAAAAAAAATTAAACTCAAAATCTCCATAATGCGTTAGGCGAACTCACTCCTTCACCGCTTGCACAAAATCCGATTTGGAGTCATGCTGCGCATTCAGACAGACGCCCATGGCGGTTTCTAGCGCGAGAGCGAGTACCATAAAACAAAATAAAACAAAAATTATAACAATTACAAAACTGCACACATATCATCATCATTACCTGCTATAACATCGAGCGTCATTAGACCCATATATGGGTAAATGTCCACCGGCGTTTTGCCATCCGCAAATCCAGCTAGTTTATCCACCAAAACACGACTCTGCCGCTCAAACACGTCTACAAATTGTTCAAGTATCTTGAAATGAAAGGCGGGCGTGATGATTTTGCGCATCGTCTGCCACTTGCGTCCTTGGCTAAGTAGCAGTCCATTGCCCAACCAGCCGCGTAGTAGCCAATAGAGTTGATTCTTTTGTATGTGCTTTTGACTGCTGAGCAGCTCTTCGACATAGCGTGGATCGGCTGTAACGACCATTAAGCCGCGCAGGACAGGCGCACAAAAGCTTTTACCAAAACGCGATACAAACTCTTGAAACTTCAGATGTAAATCTTGCGGAGGAATGTGAAAGAAAATACAACGAGAAATGGAGGGAGAAAGATAAAACAGAGAAATTAGTATAATCTAGTTTAAAGCGCAAATCTTTAAATTTAGTTACATACTATCCGGCTGAAAGCGCGCCAACACCAGTATACAACCCACAAGCGGTATCTTCGATACTAACGGTATACGCTGGTAGAATTCTCGATTACGCATACGGATATAATAGTCATAGAAAGAGATGAACAGCAGCGCCGCTAGCAACAGCTCCAAAAACATTTTGTTCCTGTTTTTTTTTTTCAAATAAATATCTTAATATTTCAAAACATTTGCTTTTCAAACCAGCCAGCAGTCAGCATTGACGGTGTTGTACATAGTCTAACGCCTTAAACTCCGCTAGTGGTATTCATGCTGAAATTACATGCGCGCACTTATCAATTACTAAAACATGCAGCTCATCTCATGCCATATCATTTATTGTTCGTACATTTAGTTATAGAAATACATACACATTTTTATGAATATTGGAGGGTGCAATAAAAAAAACGAATTAAAAGCTGACAAGTTGACTAATTGTTCAAACTATTTATAGACTGATGAGCTGTTTGCCGCCCAATGTGGTTAGTCAAAAGGGGAAAAATTGTCCAGATATCGGTATCTTTTTCTCTGAGAGCTTTTGTATGCTGGTCGAATGCTATTGACAGCCAATATAAGCTCTCAAAGGCAGCTATTCAAAACTTGGAGCACAGGAAATTTTTCACTGTTTCATACTTACAATTTCTTCGACGACAATTGAGGACTTCATAATTTTTCTGAACTGTTAGAGAGTATACATATGTAGCTCGTTGAACCATCATACGCGCCTCTAGATGCGGTTTGGTGGAAAACGGTATGAAAGTTTCATCTAGAGCCCGCAACTGGATCTATACTGTGTTTTCTATCAGGACTGAAATGATATATACCAAGGAGAATCTTTTCTAAATAGTTAAGTTTTCCTTTGCCGATATACGGCCTCCGTCGATATACATATATAATTTCTATGTAATTGGCTCCAATGAAAAATGAACACAAATCCTGGGATGCGAACCCCCCCTTTAGATGACCACCACGAAAACGTTTCAATGACTACGATTTGAGGGCATGCAGCTCAAATGTCCGGACCTTTATTGGGGAAGGTGTCTCTGCCCGGCTGGTTTATGTCCTCGTAAGGACAAAAGCTGAAATCACCGCCATTCAAGTAATGAGTTGGACGGGGCAAGACAAAAAATGTCTGATCCTTGCGACGTCTACTACAGCTGCCATGTAAAGGACCGCGAATTCGGTGTTGGATTTGTGGTGGGAGAGAGACTCCATCGCCGAGTACTGTCGTTCACGCCGGTGGACGAGCCTCTAGCCACAATTCGTATCAAAGCGAGATTCTTCAACACCTCGCTAATCTGCGCCCATGCCCCATAGAATACAAGGTCTTATCGAGCGTGTTGTGTGAAATAATGAAGCCCGCCGTCAGTGAACTGATTGGGTCTGTTCTGCCTTTTCCAACGAGGACAAGACAAAGTATCTCCTGTCATCAAAAAACAGTCCGCGCATTCGCATCTTGGCACCCACGTCACTGTTGACAGTTATAATTTCAAGAAAGTAGAGAATTTCGTTTACTTGGGAACCAGTGTTAACACCGGTAATAATGTCAGCATGGAAATCCAACGCAGTATCGCTCTTGCCAACAAGTGATACTCTGGACTGAGTATGCAATTCAAGAGGAAAGTCCTCTCCCGACGTATGAAAACCTCTATAGTCACTTATCATACCCGAGCTGGTGTATGGATACCGAAGCAAGGACAATGACAACA